TACTTAAAAATCTATTTATATCAAATCACAATTGATTTAATGAACATTAATCAGATGCAGAACACTATGCCAAAATATTATATTGTTAATTAAAATAATTCACTACAGATAGAAAAGCCACCTCATTTCTTCAAACTACCTGTTAAAAAAATACACCTGACCAGAGATTTGAGTCTGCACAGGGCATGATGCAACAGAACCTAAGGCTTATAAGGGGAACAAGGTACCTTGAATTTCTTCTTTTTAATCTTTTTCTTTTGTGCATGATCCAAACATAAATGACTCTGTGACAGGTAGACACAACAAACTGTTAGGTCTATTGTGCTAATCATCTGCAAATTAAACTGTAGTAAACCCAAAATAAGTCTCCATGCTAAAGTTGTTAAGACCTTCTCTATCAATATCCTGCAGAAAATGAATTATACAATTATACCTCAGTGCAAACTGTAATGACTACAAATTACAGCAGTAATTGTATTATACAGCAAAGTGATTTGATTCATTGCTTACAAGGCATAATTAATAAAATGAAATAAGATTATCTCTATATTCCATCTTTAGAGTCTATTTTTCTGAGGAGTAGTTTGTTGGCGGTTTTTACCCAACATCTCACTACTCTGACTGCCAGAAATATTTAATGCATTTTTTTGTGTGAAAGTCGTTGAGCATCATCTTAAATTACTCAGATGAGTCTGGTAGGGTTTGTAAAGAATCAGGATGCATCACTACTCCCAGGAGATGAAATAAAGAGATAAACAGAGATAAATAGAAGGTAATCTTGTATGCAGAGAGCTCTTTAAGGGTGTCTGTTGATGAGCAAGGGCAGGGAAATGACTGAAGCAGATTACATTTGCATTTCTGTTAGGTGACAGTTCATTTTAATTTCATTGATTGTGTTTCAGTTAGGATAACAAAATAGCCTTTATTATTTCCCAGGGGAAAAAGAAATAGAAGGATAGGCCAGGCTGGGGTGACACCTCACAGTCCCAGCTCCCCACACCAAACAGGAAGAAATTAGGTTTGGCAGAAAAGCCCCTCTGAGCAGCCCTCTCCCATGGGACTGTAAAAGCTGAGGTAACAGAGGAACATCCGTAAGGCAGCCTAAACTGCTTGGTCTAGAGCTCACAGGAATGACATTCCATCTTCAGGACATAAGCAAAGGCCTCCCTGTTTAATATCCAGTCACCTGTACTGAGCTCAGTGTTGGCAGAGCAGCAGAGACATTTTTTTGCAAAACACTGACATGTCAAATTTGGAAGCAGTGTTGAACAAGAAACTGTAAAACTGAAAGAGAATAGAGAGAAAAATATCTTTACTCTGGACTGTAGGAAACTTATTAAAGGTTCTTGATAATGACAGGATGAGTGGAGATGATTCATTAATAGCACTCCCCAAAATCCTTCATATTGTTGCCAATATTTCTCTTAAATCCTGCTTTATTCTGTTAAGATATTTTTACGTACCAAGAGGTGATCAGCTAAGAATAACAAAGAGGGTAACATATGCAATACTTTCCCTCTGTGTCCTAGTGTGCCTCTCTGTTCATTTCAACCAAAGATTTTTTTGGGATTCTGTTACTGGGTTTGATTTTGTTGTTAAAATAAATGGTCTTGCTTTTGTAAGCCTCCACTAATCTCCTCATTGCAGAAGTTTTTTCAGTGGCTTCCAGCTAGATCTTTCTGTTCTTAAGGACAATATTAAATAACACAGCTGCCATGGAATGCAGTTATCCTCATGCTGCAGTCAAATGAAGGAAATTTGTGAGCTCCTGTATTTGGGAAGAAAAGGCTCACAGATACAAAAGGTTTAAGAGTTCTCTGGTTGCTATTTTGCTCAAAAGAAAAAAGGCTATTAATTTATTATTAGAACAATCTCCTTAATCAAAATGCTGATTCAGCTTGCTATTTATTAGATGATTATAATGAAGTCTATGAAAATCAGGAAAGAAGCCAGAACAGCAATCAACTCTATTTTGCAATAAACTAAAGAACACCTGGTGCTTTGCAACTTTGTCCTTTGACATGATCTGTCAAAAACAATTTTAACCATCTTCAAACAAGTATGTTGGTCACCAGAAGCTATGTTAGTTTACCTTTATTTTTCTTTACTGTGTGTTTGATAATATTAACACTACTATATTAAAATGTTATTATGAAATTCCAGTGAAAAGCCTGAATTTCTGAATGCTTGTATCTCTCCCTAACAGTCTCTGCAGTTGCTCTCAAACAAGGAGAATAATCTGGATGTCAAATATTTGACAAGACAATTTGAGCAGAAGTAGGTAACTGTGGAGCCAGGAATTATTTTTAATAATTGATAACACTTCATATAGTGAAACTACATATAAAAAACATACTTTTCAGCCCAAGAATAAAGTTAATAAACCCTTAATTTTATAAGGATTCTTTCTTCTCACCTTGCATCATGATCTTAAAAATGCATTACTGCTGTAACTCATATTTTTATGCAAATGAAAGGGGGTTTTGGTTGGTGTTGCTTTTGGTTTGTTTGTTTTTAGTTTTTTTTTTTTTTTAAAAAAAAGACCCTTCCTATTTACAGGTAAGTTACCATCAATTGTGATTTAATTGATCACTGACAGAAGTTCTTTATGCATGTGCAGTTCAGGAAGAAATCTTTGTTTATTGAATTTTGATTACAGCTGTGTAGTAGCAGGAGATGTATATTCACATAGCAGTTTTTTTCTCATTTTAATAAAAAAATTAGATAAAGAGAAACTGTTATTTAGAACATTATTGCAGGTCTTCCCATTTCCATCCCAAGAATCACAGCTTTTTTTCCCTTCTATTCAGTAAGCCAAAAACATAACATGCATTCACACATACACAAGAAAAAAAAGTGAAAGGAGACTGGAACATTCTGATAAAAAAAAAAATCAAGGCTTTCAAGTCATGAAAATGACTGCTATTATAAAAGTTGACATTATAAAGCAGTCTATGAGTGCTAGACTCTTTTTATTTAATATACATTCTAAACCCACTAATCTTAGAAAGTATTTTATCATTAACACAGAAAGCACAGCCTTCAGTTTTTATACTTGAATATTAAGACCAAGAATTTGATATCACTGCATTCAAAGCTTTTCATTTATTCTCCCAAACACAGCTGTGTTAACTTCCAGACACCAAACACAAAAGGTTGAAAAACTCCAACTACTTTAATTATGAACATATCTAAACATCTTGGTGATGTAGAAGAGGGAGTCCCAATGCATTACGGGAAATCATTCTTGTAGGCTTAAAAAAAGCTTGTAAGGGAAGAAAACTTTTTAAGTGCAAAATTGTTTTATGGTTTATTAAAATGATCAACTATGGGTGTTTGCTATAAAATGTACTGATTTTAAAAGGCACATTTGAAAATTTAAATAGAAACCAAAAATTCCTAGTAAGATCTTTACTTTGTCCAAGTGAGAGAGAACTTTTCTTCTCTCATTGAAAGCAGCATCACCATTTTGTATATTTTGTACACTGTTTTTTTGCAGGACTAAGTTCAAATTAACTGAGTGCAGACAGAGCTGAGTGCACTTTTTGCACCTGAAGTAATTTAGCTTTCTAACGTGTATGATTTTTGACAGCAATGTAAGAAACTGAACAAACCCTCAATAAACCAACCAGCCCCAAAACTCTAACTTGAATTGCTCCTTCCTCTCAGTAGCTCTGCATAGTAGTAATTGGCACAGGAATAGCTCTACTCCATTAAAGTTTCTTCTTTCGTAAGACAGAGATGAGAATACCTCTGAACATAATTCAAATAATTGACTGTCTGCATCTATTTTTGTTGATATATGTCAACTAACAAAGCTGTTATTTAGCTAAAGCAATTGCATTGTACCAAAAAATGCTAACCAGAGCAGTACTGAACATGAAATACTTCCTTTTGTTGACATTACTGTGGAGGTATTTTCTCCATTTCAAAACAATGCAGGTACTCTTCAACACCAAAAAGAAAATCAAGTAAATATACCTGCAAGCAAGGTAGATTTTAGGCACTGTGACATGCAATTATACATCTTACTACTTTTCAACTTCCAGTTTTAGGGTAATGAAAAATCAAAGTCCACTGAATTACACCATGCAGACTTCTAGACTGAGATTCAATTAAATAATCCATGAAGTAATTCTTTTTCAGAGCTTCTAAAAAAGAAGTATAATCAACAGGGTGTAGAGTTATTGAAATAATGAAAGTCAACAGCTCTGAGTCATGGCACAGGATCAGAGCTACCCTGGCATTTCTGTGTGTACAAGCATATGTTAGAAAGTGCAATGCAAATGTCTTTCAGTATGAAAACCTTAATATTATTTTACTTTTCACTGTGAAGCTAGCAACAATTTTGATATACTCATCAGCATAAAGAGATGCTCTCTGTCTTTGTTGTGAGGCCCTGGCACAGGTTGCCCAGAGAAGCTGTGGCTGCCCCATCCCTGGGAGTGTTAAAGGCCAGCTTGGATGGGTCTTGGAGCAACCTGGTGTAGGGAAAGTGTCCCTGTTCGTGGCAGGGGGTTGGAACCAGGTGATCTTTAATGTCCCTTCCAAACCAAATCATTCTGTGATTCTATGATTCTTTTTTTTTAACACCCAGTGATGGAAATAGTGCAGCTTTTTTCTGTTCCCTGCTTCTTAATTTCCAGATTTTACCTTGAATTCTATAAGCCTTAGGTGACTATAACTTATTCTAATGCATTTCATTTGTAATAGTTAAACCCACAATGCTGCTTCTTTGACTGGCTGTTTCTAAATCTCAGTTAAAGCACACTTGTTCTGGTATTTCAGGGATATTTAGCTGTTACATGTCAAAAAAAATGACTAAAACCACAAGATAGTGAAACCATCACAACCATACATCCCTCTCTAGAGCCAGATAAGGAGGTCCATATTTTCTACATTCTTCTGAGTGAACACACTGTTCCTTGAGCACAAATTGGACCTCCCAAAGCTAATGCACTTCCTAAGGCATAATCCCCACCTTTTTAATTTGCTTTCAGATAAATTCCTGTACAAGCAAGTCTCGACATAACAAAGCCCTTCATCAAGATGAAGCTGCTTCATGAGCTTGAATTATTACACTCTCAGCCCTGCTGTGAAATCAACATGAAGAACAGGACAGTGTAGCACATCTGTGGAGAATCTGCATCTCTGCATGACTTCACACATCACAGCACCTCCTGAGATACTATTACTCTCCTGCCAATATCAATACACCACGAGGAGGTTTCCCAGCGAGCTGTGGTGCACTGGTCAGACCTTTGGTCAGGTCCAGAACTGCGCTGATGTTTTTTTGCTGACCAGTCTGTCAGACAATGTCTGTGTCTGTGGCACCTCTGTGACACCAAGCCAACAGTGCTGACCACACCTCATGTCTCACAAAGCCTTCACTGTGCTGAAGACCCTTGAATGTTGATGATTTTCTTTGGGTGCTGATGATTATTTTTGCCTCTTGCCAGCTTTTTTTTCCTCCTTCATTTTCTTCATTGTTTTCTGCAACAATTGAAAAGGCTGAACAAAATAAATACAAAAATATGTTACACTAGCACTAAACACTGGTCAACTACTTGCACTGATTAGACAAAGCCAATACAGTTGAATTTGAATTTCACTGGGAATCTAAAACTTAAATGTACAGAAAACTGTGGTGATACGTGCTTTATTTTTAAGTGTTTGCAAAAAAAAGCCATAACTTTATCAAACATTATAAACACTTTCACTGCTGACAACCCTCTTCAAACATCAACTACTGTAATTTTCCACACATTTACATAATACTGGCTGATTAAGCCGTCAGAATTTTCATTGCTGCTTGCTGCAGAAATCAAAAATAAAAACAGTTTTCAGTGGTTTGCCCTCTTAAGATTCTGACACTAGAGTGTAAGAAACAGTAAAATGGCTAATCTGAAGCATGTAGGGGAATATTCTCCTCAGTAACTAATTCCCTTATTCTCACATAATTAAGCTGCTTTTCCCCAGTATATAATCTGCCTCAGATGCCAGCAACCCACTTGACAACAACCCAATCCATGGGTCTGCAGCCCTGCCTGAGAAGATCTCTGAATGGACATCCTCTTTCTTCATAATTTTTACTCAACTACAGGGTCTCTTACCTTGACAATTTAATTCTCACAGGAACTACAAAGCCTCAAGGTCTGAATTGTCTGGGAACCCAGAGGGCTGTTACATGAACAGAGTTCTCCCCTGTGTTATTTCAAAGTAATGTGATGTATTTCCAGTCTGTCAGACTTGTCTGTTCTGGGTTATATTGAAGCAGCGTTGATATTCATCTCAAGATGCATATGGTAAGATATGTTATCGTATGGGAATACAAGATTTGTAACAAAAATTACCATGTAATTATCTTTATTTCATTGTCATGCGGTTTCCTCTCAAAATAATACATATTGTCTCACATCTCTTTAACTTCCACAGTAAGACCAAAGTTTTGAAGCTGAAAGGGAGGTCAACAGAGAACTACCAATAATACAGAACATCCATACAACCTAAGAAATACTCTGCAGTGGGTAAAAGAGTGGTCTGAATTCCATTCCTTTCTGTAGAAAAGGGTATGTAAAAAAAATTTGCTCATGAATACTTTTGAAAATAAAATTTTTTAAGTATCACAGAAAGATAAAAGTGATCAACTCATTCCCTATGAAGTCATCCCATCTGGTTCCAATGCACATTAAATTAATCCAGGACAATACACCCCCCCCCACACACACACGTACCAGTTTAACACTATTTCAAAAAGGATTTTTAATAATCCACAATAACCAACCATTAAAACATTTGCACTAAAGCTTCCCATGCAATTTCTCTGTTGTCATCTTAATACTCATTTATGGTAATATCCACAGAGTAGAAAGAAATCTGGTAAACAAGAATAGGGATGTTATTTTTCATCTGAAAAAGGTACAGAATGCACTGTGGTAGAGCAGGTTGCTTCCACCCTGATTTACAGATAATCTGCTTTCCTCTTTAGAAGCTCTCTTTTGACTTCAGGGGAATTAATGCTACTGTCATTATGCTTACTGTGAAGTGTTAATCTCTATGCTATAATGAGAAAAGGTGCTGCTATAATTTAGTATTTCATCTTTATCCAAGCTACACCAGTTTTTTCCCTTATACTTCTACTGTTCATTCTGAAAGTCAAAATGTAGTAGACACTTTTCCATCTTTTATAGATTTGGTCTAATATCACAGAAATTATCAGAAAACTTCAACTTTTAATTGGAATCTGAGTAAAACTGTGCACTGATATGCAAATATTTCCTTTGATCTGAAAAAAAGCAAATAGCCCATTACTTGTAATTCTGTATTTGTCCGGTGAAAATGACCTGTGTCATTTGAGCTTTTTGGTTGTTTTAGTTCTTGTGTTAGTGGCAGGGATGAGATAACTGGAACTGGAAAGAAGGAGGGTCAGACTGGTCATCTGGTGAATGGAACCCTGTACTAAATCCTTACTGTTCATAAAGCTGAAATTAGAGTTACATCACTTCAGAAATTAAATATCATTGTACAAATGGCTATATGCTAATGTACTGTAGTGAAGATTTTGGTGAACTGTCCCATCTCTGCAATTATAAAAAGGAAGCTAAAATTACTTTGTCATGACCAGAAAAGAACAGGTGTATCTTTACAAGAGAGTTTTTCAGAAGGAATACCATACTTTTGCTCCTATTTCTCAACAAATTTTGTGCGTCTTGAGTCATTAAGAGTTATAAAAAATGCTTTCAGCGGAAACAGAAAAGCCCACATGATTTGGTTAGTTTTAATTGTAGCAAGTTCTATTTATTTCTTCAAGAATCCAGAGGAAGTAGAGGTTGAAAATGAATGACAGAATGTTCCCTTCGAAATACAAGAGCTATCAGGTGTGTAATAAGGGCTCAGGGAAGCAAAGCAATTATGCAAAATTCAAAGGCAACTGGAGAACATAAACAGTTGGTATAGGAGTGAGAAGGGGAACTTGATATTCCATGCACGAGGAGTCTTAGGTGGTCATGGAATTTCAGGCAGTAATGGTGGATGAAAGACAGGACACCAAAGCACAAAGGAATTCCAATGAGCTCAAATAGGGATCAATCAGGCTCAAGGGAATGTAAGACACTTCAGAAGACTATGAGTGGTTTAGTGGTCTGTATTTCTCTTTTCCCCAGCCTATCCTATTAAACTTTTTTCTAAGACTTTTTCCCTTGCCCCATTTCATTGAAAAAAAATACTCCTTTTCCCTTCCTGGACCTTGTAAAACCACTCCCAACATGTAGTCCGAGCAGCCTTGTTGTCTCCATCCTCTTCTAGGATCCAGATCAATCTTTCCTGCTGCTGTCCAGCAAGAAGCAGTCCCCTTTGCCCTCCACAGCAGCATTTCAGACAAACTCAGTTTTCCTCTCTCACAGCTTCTGGGAACAAACGGGTAAGAAGGAAGAGGATGGAGCAAGTTCTATCCTAGGAAACAGGAGGGATAGACAGTAAGACGTCTCTGCTCCTTCTTTTATCTGGGAATAGCATCTGCTTTGCAGCAAGGTGCTACCTCATGGAACAACAGACTTCAGCAAACTCTACAGCTCAGTCCAGCTGGATCTGCAGAAACCTTGCCTGTGTTGTACAGGTACTTTCTGCTTGTTATTAAGAGATGCTAAAATGGCTTGTGTGAGTTTGAGAACATGTCAACACACTCCATTCTTTCTTTGTTTACCTGAATACATTAATTCTTTCCAAGCTTTAAAAGGCTAAAGCAAGATTAACTGTGATGGGGATGAGAGGACAGGCTCCAAATGTGTTAATATTATTGTAGGCATCAAGGTGTCTGTACAACATTGATGAATTATTTCTAAAAATAACAGATGTAGGTAATCAATCTTATATTTTGGTCAAAAGGATAAGCTTCTCCCAACCCAGATATGGATTGCTTACAGTAGGACTATGTTTTAAGAATGCTAAAAACTTTTTCAGTCAGTCCAAACTGTGGTCACAGACACCTTGAGGCTCGTGCAACAAAAAAGGATTTTTTTTGGTTTTGATGTATTTACTTCTCTTCCTCCTTTAAGTGCTGCCTGTTACTCACCTTCCACAGTCATTGCTGTTCTTACTTCTGTGATTGTATTTTGCAATTATCTTTTAAAATATCAAATAAATAAGGGTTAATTTTTACAGCAGGAGCACCTCACAAGCAAGAATATAGGCAAAAAAAGGGGAAAAGAGAGAATGATGAGCAAGTGATGAAAGTAGTGATTTTCCAGTTGGTTGTAACACTGATATAATGGCTGTAATAGAAAGAAAGCAGATTTTTTTTGGTTTAATATTAATTGGATGCTTTCATTTAAAAGTTAAGTAGCGTTTGAAATCACAAGGTGACTTCAACAGTATTCACAGAAAACGCCAGTAATATTGTACTGAAAGTGTGACAAGAATTGATGTGAGAAGTTTGAAGCCTCCACCAAGAACCTCATCACCTGAGCACTTAGTTACAGTGATGGCAGTTACTCCTTCACTGGCAGAGAAATTCAGAAAATCAAATAAAATTGTGTATCTGTTTTTTTACTGAACTCCAATTTGCACTAACGAACAGGCATAAGGTTGACAAAATGTAATGTGTTTTCTCTTTATTGGTAGAAGAGTAGAGTTATTGTGGGCTCACAGTCATGTCTCCCAATTAGAAGCAACTCTCCTTCCCCTTTGTGACAAGTAAGATATTTATCTAAGAATTAGGAAACCTCAATAAAACCAAAACAGCATCTTTTGTCATCCTGTTCCTGGTGAATATCAGTTTACATCAACTGGAAGTAAATCATGAGCATGCAATGTGCCATCTGACTCTCTCTCCTGATGTCAGTGGGAGACTGTAATTCCTGTTTGTACTTATTAACTGCTTAAACCTGCTTTTTGCCAATGGCTGCAATGGGCTTTCAGTCTCCTGGATTTCCCAGTATTTAATTTAACCATTACACAATAACCAGAAAGGCAGAGGACTTTCTGCTTTGGTCAGTCATCCTTCCAATTTGTATTTCTAAGAATCAGCTGCCTCAGGTGCCCCATTTAGCAAATCTCATCTGCATCCCCGAATTTCTGGTTTATTCAGGGCCATAGGTCATACTGCTAGACTGTCTGACATAAATATATCCTGGTATCTGTTTAATTTGCATGTGGAATTCTATGTTCACAGCATGTAGTATCTTAAGTACTATTTAAAAGTTGTTCTGAGATTCAGACAACTAGAAAAGATGGATTAATTAACAGAATACCAGTAATGTGTTAGTAAATATGAGGCAACATCCTATCATCATGTAACAATCTCAAATATTTGTAAAATAACTGTTATTGAAAAGGATAACGCAATTCTGAGCTAAATAATTATTCCTCTTATAACATCATTTATCTTACTGAAAATTTTAAAGTGTGCAGAATATAGAACAATACTGCTCTTATACTGTGAAAGCAGAGATTTTAAACATGATTCATTTT